ATTGCAGCAAATGCAACGCGACGTTGACGACGCTTTGTACCCTGTCCTTGTCAGAATTTTCATCGCCTGCTCCAGCTCCAGCTGCAGCCAGCCGCTGGGCTACATGAAAGTCAAGTGACGCCCAAAGGTAATATGGGACAGGAGCTGGAAAAGAAGGGCGTTTGCCACTTAGCTGCTTACCTTAACTGGCTACAAGCAAACGGGGCGTTGTTGTTCACGAGCCTCTGCATCGGCTGATAGATGCCGTCTTCCAAGTGAGCGGTGCGCTAATTTAGGCGGCTGCCATAAAGGTACAGGACACGAGGGGAGCACGCAACGGTCCGGGAATCAAGCAATCAACAAGCAAGGCTGATAGCTCAGGTATTAAGGGAATGACATCTTTGGAGCACAAAGAGCGTGTTGAACTTATGAACTAAAAGCGAATACCCGTTCCTATTACCCATATTGCAATCGTATTGAATAACCTGGCACTAGCGAATATTACCCGGATTTGGCCACTTCAAGTTAAATTAATTCGTTCTGCCTGTTCAAAACGACATTTTCCATAGATCTTTAAGGAATTCATTTAAAAGAAATCGGATAAAAAACAATTCATTGTCATCAACAGTTTTCCTTCCGTTTTTCACAGTGTATCAAGTTCTCATGAGAGCTCCAAAGTCAATTGCATACAAAATAAAAAGGAAAAACAACTTTAAGCTAATCGGGGAAAGCTTGAAACTTAGCCATGCAAACATTGAGCCTTCATTTCACAATTTAAATACCTTAAATATAATATAAATAATAATTTAATTTGCTTTGAAGAGTTTTTCTTGCTTTACAATTAAATAGGAAGTTTAATACTATTTGTAGATTATTCAAAATTTATTTTCTTTCCTTGGGACTTACACTGATGAATATATATTTATTTTGTTCTATAATAAAATAGAATTTATTTAATTAAAGTTTTTTTTAGAATATTTGAGAGGTGAGCTCAATATTTATATGTTAGAAAGAATAATTATACATTTGCATAAAAGGTATTCGCTTTATGAAATCTCACTATTTGTTGGACATCAGGAAATTCATTTTCAGTTTTAAGATATCTCCCACTTTTTAATCAGTTCTCCGTGCACACCTGGGAGGATAGTACAAGTTTACGCTATAAGACAACACTGCAATAAATCGGCTTCAGCTGTTGCGCTTCAGTATATGTGAACGGTTCTGAACTAATTAGGTCTAACCCAAGCACTTTTCCAATGTTATTGGGCGGAAGCGTAGATTTAGCCAGCTACTCTTATATGTCCGGGAAAGGGCGACTCTCAATGGGCGTGATGATTAATAGGCAGAGCGAAGGCCGCAAATTGATGTTGATTTCAATTCATCATTAAAATGCAAATAGGCCCAAGCCAAATTGAGCGTAAGAAAAACAATGGGGCTAGGGTTCAGCCGGATAAGCGGTGCGGGGTTATCAGCTAAAGCCTAAACAAACAACTTGCCACAAGCTTCAGTTGATGCCACGCAGAATCAATGCCTCCATGGCCCCGACAATGGAGACCCGTCAACGGGCCTTCAACGCCAATTTGTTTACATGTCCCCGGTGGTCCAATGATCGGCTGGTCGCCCGGCTGCCCGGTCTCCTGTCCGCCGGGTTTTGCTGATGGTGTTATTTATTGTTATCAGACACTCGAGCACATAAAACATTTTATCACTTGCCAAAGCGCCGCTTCGTACGATTCAGCTGGAAAAAGCAAAAAAAAAAATTATTATGCCTTATGTCAGAAGCCGGCGACACGACCGGAGACGCTGGCGGGGACAGTAACAATGCGAGGATGGGCAAAAGGGTGAGGGTGAGTGCGAGTGCGAGGGCGAGGGCGAGGGCGAGGGCAAGACCTGGCCAGGGACCGGGCAAAACTTCATCACTCAATGCTCAAAGTGTTGAATGCGGCGAGGCGAAAGTTGAAGTTGAACGGAAACGGATATAACGCGTGGTTGCCATCAGCCCGTTCCTGCTTCTGATCCCTCTCCCTCTCCAGCTCCAGCTCCAGCGCCAGGTCTTTAGCCATGGCCTCGCTGCAGCTCGTCTATCTTTAAGTAATTTGTGTGCCCTGCGCCGGGCAGCCGGAAACGAGCATTGTGCCAAGGCAAACGGACGATGGCGAACCGGGCAGGATAAAAAAAGAATCACATTTATGTCTAACAGTTTTGTGCTTTTTTTCTATTTTTTGTGGCTCGCTTTGCAATGATTAATTAAGCCCGAAGTGTACGCCTAATGGCCAGACCATCCAATGCCCAATATCAGCCACAGTCCGTTGACCTTGGCCAGCCATTGTGCTTGAGTTTGGTCTAATTGGTAATGGGCCACTGATGGCCCGGCTTATGAGAATGAAAAATTAAATTTCCAGCATATCCTGCGAATAGAGCAGGATTTCAGTGAAAGTTTATTCTGAGAGCTTTGGCCAAAATCAGTTTAATGGGAATCTTTATTGTTTTCAAATGTACTTATTAACTGTACTTAGCAGGACAGCCAGGACAACGTGTTTTTGTTTTAAGTACACAAAGGCATCTGTAAGGATTTTAGGGAATTTTACGAATTCCTTTGCAGCTACTTAATTATAATTACAAAACTTTCGGAACAAGATTGCCATGCCTTGGGCAAGTAAGCGAGAGCTATTTGAGAGTGACGATTATGAATTGAATTTATCTAGTCATGTCCTTCTGTGTGAAAATATATGAGCTAACGTAAACGTAAACTACAAAGAGTCGTTAAATTTGAAAGCTTTCCATTTTTGGTCGATGTCTTGCGCATTTCTAAAATATCGATAGGTATCGATTTTGAGACTTGGCTCTTAAAGTCTTTAATGTGCGTCAAATTAGCGGCGGTGAGTTAGCGTCGATTTTTGGTACTTGGTATCGGAAAAGGAATCGGTCACTTTTAAATGCATTTATTTATGTTTTTAAGCACAAAACCAAATAAATTTAAATGCAGAATTGCAATAAATTAAATTATTTACTATCTACATTCATTTATTTTTGAATTTTAATTTATAATATGGGTAAACCAAGGGGTTAAAATATTAGGTTTTCACCATTCCATAAATATCTATATTAAGGGATGATGGCCCCGAAAACCGCATATACACGATTAAAGCCTATAGTTTCTCCTAGCCAACTGTGAAAATTTGATTAAAATCGTCGGTACCATTTTTAAGATATTTGGAAAAGAGTGCAACAACCCCCAAGTCAGCCCCATATAAAATGACCGCAAAAAATCAACCTTGTTTTCGAGCCCTTATTTCTTAACTCAGAGACAATGGCCCTCAATGCACGGTATACCCTCTTGTAGATACATATTTAAGGAAGCTATAGGCACTAATTTTAAGTAAATGGACGGTACAGATTTTGAGAAAATTAATTAATTGTAAACCAACCTCATATAGTTCATTAAAAAGTCTATCGAACTGCTAGTTCCTACGTGAACTGAATCACTGCCTGGCATCAGTGCTGAACAATTTTGTGCAGAACTGAGCGGGAACCAATTCAATTTGAATTATATGTAATCATGAAAAAATGGAAAGGACTCATAGTAAATTAAATTAATAAGTCAAAGCAAATTATATGAGAAGTACTAAGTCATACTTAATAGCGCAGTTTATGGAAAAATTGCATTTTTCCATTTTTTTCTTTACATCCTATGTTAATGCAAAAAAACATGCTGGCAATATTAGATATCATACTGTTAAATGGCAGCCATATTTTAAACTTTATTATTTAATTTCTCCGAAAACGGCCCCAAATGCACGGTAGTTGTGCATATAGAGCACGATTTATCAATCATTTTGCTATTTATTTCATTAAAATCATCGGTACAGATTTTGAGAAATTCTCATTTTTCTATTTCTCTCATAACATCCTATGTTAATGCAAAAAAACATGCTGGCAATATTAGATATCATACTGTTAAATGGCAGCCATATTTTAAACTTTATTATTTAATTTCTCCGAAAACGGCCCCAAATGCACGGTAGTTGTGCATATAGAGCTCGATTTATCAATCATTTTGCTATTTATTTCATTAAAATCATCGGTACAGATTTTGAGAAATTCTCATTTTTCTATTTCTCTCATAACATCCTATGTTAATGCAAAAAAACATGCTGGCAATATTAGATATCATACTGTTAAATGGCAGCCATATTTTAAACTTTATTATTTAATTTCTCCGAAAACGGCCCCAAATGCACGGTAGTTGTGCATATAGAGCACGATTTATCAATCATTTTGCTATTTATTTCATTAAAATCATCGGTACAGATTTTGAGAAATTCTCATTTTTCTATTTCTCTCATAACATCCTATGTTAATGCAAAAAAACATGCTGGCAATATTAGATATCATACTGTTAAATGGCAGCCATATTTTAAACTTTATTATTTAATTTCTCCGAAAACGGCCCCAAATGCACGGTAGTTGTGCATATAGAGCTCGATTTATCAATCATTTTGCTATTTATTTCATTAAAATCATCGGTACAGATTTTGAGAAATTCTCATTTTTCTATTTCTCTCATAACATCCTATGTTAATGCAAAAAAACATGCTGGCAATATTAGATATCATACTGTTAAATGGCAGCCATATTTTAAACTTTATTATTTAATTTCTCCGAAAACGGCCCCAAATGCACGGTAGTTGTGCATATAGAGCACGATTTATCAATCATTTTGCTATTTATTTCATTAAAATCATCGGTACAGATTTTGAGAAATTCTCATTTTTCTATTTCTCTCATAACATCCTAGCATATAAACGAGCGAAACTGACAATCTCTGAAAATAAGTGAATAATTAAAATATCGGTCACTCTTTTTATACATGGCGATGAATAGTTTGTAATTGGGCTCACAATAAAAATTTATATTTTGTATCTATATTTATATATACACAGATAATAATACAAATTGTAGAATGTTTTAACAACTATGTAAAGTATTTATTTTATATAAATAACATGTTTAGATAATATTCATCGTCATGTGTACTTTTACTTATTTTTACAAGGTGGCATCTTTATGTTCCCATAGGTTAGCTTTCTTCGTAAGTTGGCAGCCCCTAACATAGCGGCACTTTTGCATTCCATGTTTATATCAAATAAGTTTTATTTTTGTTTGCGAGATCTTTTATTTGTAGTTCTGTACATCACACAACTGATCAATTGGGCCATATATGTACATCATGCACTGCAATCGCCCCACAACCATACTTAATCCGCACAGCAGCATGGATCGCAGTAAGTTGTGTCCCAATTGAATGACTGATTGATTGTACGTATTTTTAGATAATACCATTATTATCTGCTAGGTTGATTAAATTTGATTTCTTATACTCATCTCTTTACGCCAATTAGCTGCACCATTTGGGATCAACGTGATGCGAAGAAGGTTCAGATGTTTGTACTTGAGATAGCCTCCGGCATTATTGAGTGCATCAATTCGCTGGTCGTGACCAAGGATTACATTTACATAGGCCTCGTCTGTCAGCCACATGATGAGCAACAGCAATGCGGCCATGGACGATGGCAACGTGGACGAGTGCTGTGATTCGATTACGCAGCTGACCAGCGCTTCGTTTCATCTGCACCATCTGGTCAAGGGTCGGCCCAAGCGCGCTCCAACCCGCTGATTAATGCGCCGCTGGATATTGGTAATGGCCTGGAGCACTTTTTCAGACCCGGCTAGGTCACGCCCACAACGCTGACCCCGTTGGTGTCGCCCACATCCGAGGATGTGCTGTCAGATAATAATGGTATTATCTAAAAATACGTACAATCAATCAGTCATTCAATTGGGACACAACTTACTGCGATCCATGCTGCTGTGCGGATTAAGTATGGTTGTGGGGCGATTGCAGTGCATGATGTACATATATGGCCCAATTGATCAGTTGTGTGATGTACAGAACTACAAATAAAAGATCTCGCAAACAAAAATAAAACTTATTTGATATAAACATGGAATGCAAAAGTGCCGCTATGTTAGGGGCTGCCAACTTACGAAGAAAGCTAACCTATGGGAACATAAAGATGCCACCTTGTAAAAATAAGTAAAAGTACACATGACGATGAATATTATCTAAACATGTTATTTATATAAAATAAATACTTTACATAGTTGTTAAAACATTCTACAATTTGTATTATTATCTGTGTATATATAAATATAGATACAAAATATAAATTTTTATTGTGAGCCCAATTACAAACTATTCATCGCCATGTATAAAAAGAGTGACCGATATTTTAATTATTCACTTATTTTCAGAGATTGTCAGTTTCGCTCGTTTATATGCTAGGATGTTATGAGAGAAATAGAAAAATGAGAATTTCTCAAAATCTGTACCGATGATTTTAATGAAATAAATAGCAAAATGATTGATAAATCGTGCTCTATATGCACAACTACCGTGCATTTGGGGCCGTTTTCGGAGAAATTAAATAATAAAGTTTAAAATATGGCTGCCATTTAACAGTATGATATCTAATATTGCCAGCATGTTTTTTTGCATTAACATAGGATGTTATGAGAGAAATAGAAAAATGAGAATTTCTCAAAATCTGTACCGATGATTTTAATGAAATAAATAGCAAAATGATTGATAAATCGAGCTCTATATGCACAACTACCGTGCATTTGGGGCCGTTTTCGGAGAAATTAAATAATAAAGTTTAAAATATGGCTGCCATTTAACAGTATGATATCTAATATTGCCAGCATGTTTTTTTGCATTAACATAGGATGTTATGAGAGAAATAGAAAAATGAGAATTTCTCAAAATCTGTACCGATGATTTTAATGAAATAAATAGCAAAATGATTGATAAATCGTGCTCTATATGCACAACTACCGTGCATTTGGGGCCGTTTTCGGAGAAATTAAATAATAAAGTTTAAAATATGGCTGCCATTTAACAGTATGATATCTAATATTGCCAGCATGTTTTTTTGCATTAACATAGGATGTTATGAGAGAAATAGAAAAATGAGAATTTCTCAAAATCTGTACCGATGATTTTAATGAAATAAATAGCAAAATGATTGATAAATCGAGCTCTATATGCACAACTACCGTGCATTTGGGGCCGTTTTCGGAGAAATTAAATAATAAAGTTTAAAATATGGCTGCCATTTAACAGTATGATATCTAATATTGCCAGCATGTTTTTTTGCATTAACATAGGATGTTATGAGAGAAATAGAAAAATGAGAATTTCTCAAAATCTGTACCGATGATTTTAATGAAATAAATAGCAAAATGATTGATAAATCGTGCTCTATATGCACAACTACCGTGCATTTGGGGCCGTTTTCGGAGAAATTAAATAATAAAGTTTAAAATATGGCTGCCATTTAACAGTATGATATCTAATATTGCCAGCATGTTTTTTTGCATTAACATAGGATGTAAAGAAAAAAATGGAAAAATGCAATTTTTCCATAAACTGCGCTATTAAGTATGACTTAGTACTTCTCATATAATTTGCTTTGACTTATTAATTTAATTTACTATGAGTCCTTTCCATTTTTTCATGATTACATATAATTCAAATTGAATTGGTTCCCGCTCAGTTCTGCACAAAATTGTTCAGCACTGATGCCAGGCAGTGATTCAGTTCACGTAGGAACTAGCAGTTCGATAGACTTTTTAATGAACTATATGAGGTTGGTTTACAATTAATTAATTTTCTCAAAATCTGTACCGTCCATTTACTTAAAATTAGTGCCTATAGCTTCCTTAAATATGTATCTACAAGAGGGTATACCGTGCATTGAGGGCCATTGTCTCTGAGTTAAGAAATAAGGGCTCGAAAACAAGGTTGATTTTTTGCGGTCATTTTATATGGGGCTGACTTGGGGGTTGTTGCACTCTTTTCCAAATATCTTAAAAATGGTACCGACGATTTTAATCAAATTTTCACAGTTGGCTAGGAGAAACTATAGGCTTTAATCGTGTATATGCGGTTTTCGGGGCCATCATCCCTTAATATAGATATTTATGGAATGGTGAAAACCTAATATTTTAACCCCTTGGTTTACCCATATTATAAATTAAAATTCAAAAATAAATGAATGTAGATAGTAAATAATTTAATTTATTGCAATTCTGCATTTAAATTTATTTGGTTTTGTGCTTAAAAACATAAATAAATGCATTTAAAAGTGACCGATTCCTTTTCCGATACCAAGTACCAAAAATCGACGCTAACTCACCGCTGCTAATTTGACGCACATAAGTCTTTAACATGTCATAAAGCTCGGACGATAGACATCGAAGTTAACCAAGAAGTCATTTTTCATACTTGGTATGTGGCTAAGAAAAGAAGAAGCATAGAAGGGTATCCCTAGTCGGGCACTCCGACAAGACAATTCCTAGCTGATTAAAGCCATGGCAGTTTTTGGGGTTAACAATTCTATTCCATTGAAATTATTCGCTCAAGAATAAGTTGGAGCTGCATCATTTAAAGGCAACTATCTGGAACAAGCGCTTCGACTATAATGATTACTGTTAAGTATGTAGTTTGTTGCCTCAGCTAATTCGGGAACTTGCTGCGCTTTAGACAGATCGCCGGCATATTTATATATGTATGTATGTATGTACCTGTGTGTAGAAGTGTTATTCGGATTGCCGACGCGTCGCGACGTCGCAGCAGACAGCTGGCAGCGGCAGTGAGCGGGCAACAATTAACTTTGTTTTTCGCTTACATTTTCACGCCATTTTGAAATTTACTTTACAGTTGCAGCGTCGAGTGTTGCCTTGGCCGTTGTTGCTTTTATTTATTTGCCATTTGCTGTGGCGCCCTCAAGCGTCGAGAGTTGGTTTTTGTTTGTTTCTGGCTTTGCCATTAGAGATGGGCACGGGCCTTCTTTTTGAGGCACGGCCCGGGCCATGAAATCCATAAAAACTACGCAGCAGACAAAGTCAACCACCGCGATGTCGTACTCAATTTATTATAACTTTTTCCACACACAACAATTACATTTCTCTTTCCGATTAAAATAAATTAATTTTTACAACTGCTGCGAATAGCTTCTTATCTAATATACATACATATAGGTGTGCAATTTCGGGCCCTAGCGCCTTTCGTACCTACCAAGCCGTCCGTGCCCTTTCGAGCTGTGAGCTTTGGCCCGACGTCAAACGAAATGATCCTGAATATAAATTTTCGTCACAAAGCTCGCGCGCCACTTATGTAGCTCGGCACGGCCCGCGTCTATCTCTAGTTGCCAACACCGTGCAGCCAAGCAATCCGTGGGAGTGAGAAAGAGAGAGAGTTAAGCATGGCGGAGTAGAAGCGCTGAGATGAGCAGTGAATGAAGAGATGCGGAGTGAGGCGTGGCTGAGGGGCGGCCGCTGGGCTTCGCACCTTTATAGACTTCTTCATCAACGCGCTTGGAAACTTTGGTGCAAGGCGTAACGAAGTTAGCGCCAAGCGAAATGCCCCTCACCGAACCCCGACACGCCCCGGAGCCAACAAACTGCTTTAGCAGCGAGCTGCCATGTTTATACTTAATAGCCGAAGGGGGTGGGTGTCTGACCAAATGGGCGTGGCAGTGCAAAGACTAATTGAGTTATTTGCGCAGCTTAGCTACAAATTACAGCTTCGCGTACATACCTCCCCTACCTCTTCCAAATATGAGGTAGGCTACCAACGATTGCCGGAAAAGTGAGAAAAGTTATTTTGGTTACATTAACCTATAAATCAATAGTCTTATGATCTTTAGCAACACTAACTTTCCAACAAACAGAGTTGAGACTTATTCTCCGAACAGAAAATGGCATTGACAAATTTCTCAGACAACAATATCATAGTTTTTTATTAGTACAGCAATTTGTTTTGTGATGCGAGTGTGATAAGTCACAATTATGGCTCCATATATCGGATTATGCGACATCCAAACATGAATTTTTCCTAAACATTTGCACACTTCTAGGTAAATTTTGTTTTAGAAAATTTTTGTTTAGAAAATCCTTCCGGCAATATGCGGCTACGCCGCTCATTTATTATGCTGCAAAATACGCAAATAGTTAAGTTCTACCACCAGTAAAGGAATCTTTATAAAAAATGAGTTCAATAGACACCACCCCCAAGCAGATTTGGACATTATTTACGTAGGGGAACTAAATCGAAGAATAACCGTCCGCCGGAGAATAAAGCTTACCGGCTATTCGAACACCGACGCTTTTCGAAAATCGACTGTCTATCGAAACATCGAGTAAAAACTGTTAACAATGACTATGTGAACTTCGATATACCGATGTTTTTATTCTTAGCTTGTTCAAAATGAAAAAAAAATTGAAATTCCACAGAATGATGAAGTCATCCATACAACACATACATACAACAAACGTAGCAGAGGAGGCTGTCTGATTGCCTGCATGCCGCTCCGATTACCAGGTGGCCTCCGCCCACTGCATTTATTGTTAGGCGATACACAATTGATGGGATGGAAACAAAAACTAAAGATAACTTATGATTCAGAGGTCGAGGTCGGTGACTTAGAGCTAGACATAGGCAAAATGCCGCCGAGTGTCCGAATCAGTTGAAGCAGCGAGGCGCGCTTGCCTCGCACCTCCTGTATGGAGACGAGCAGCGTGCTGGTGGCATAGCCGCAGCGAGTGACATAGTCGGCCATGTTGTCCACCATGCACATGAGATGGACGCCGGACTCGTAGCTCTCATCTTTGCCCTGCTGCAGGCAGCGGCCGCGAGTGAATGTGTAATCATTGGCGACGAGCGTACGGCGCAGGCGCTCCTCGAGCAGACGCGCAAAGCCCAGGTGGCGATCGTCCTCCGAATCGAAATAATAGAACTTTCGGTCTGGTCGGGATACCAGCAACAGCGACCAGTGCGAGTCCTGCGCCAGCGGCATGAACACAAACCTCTTGCTCTCGAGCTCCAAACTGCGTGCCAGGCGCCGACGCTCGCGCCCCTCCAGATGCCGCATGCTGTATGTCAGCGCAGGCGTCAGGAAATATAGCTCGGGCTGCATTTTGTATCGGCGGCTCTGCAAATATGCGAAATAGAAGGCAATCAGGCGCTCGTTCAACGCGTGCGGTCCCTGCAGCAGCTGCACATCCGAGTGGCGCAAGGACATCTCCTGGAAGCGCAACGAAACAATCGCGTTACTTGGGTTCACTCCATCCAATTGACAGGTGCGCAGGTAATCGTCATTGATACTAGCCTTTGCCACCAGCAGGCGGCACGGCGCTGCTGCTGTTTTTTTCAATTTCTTTTTCGTCTTGGACATCTCGGCCTTTTGAAATCTAAGCTCAGATGGCGCCCAGTGTGGGGTATATTTATGTATTTGTGTGTATGCTTGGGCACGTTAATAACAGTTTAACAACAGCTTTGCGAAACCTACTTGATTCCGTTTTTTGTGGTGGACTCAACCAAAGCCAACTGTGTTTCTTTTTGCCATAGAATGTACATCTTTGGTAATGAAATAAATAAGGTTAGTCAGGAGTACCCATTTAGAAGACACCCTGAACGCATCGCCAAGCTGCCTTGAAAAGCTTCTGGATTCCACCCACACATACATTCATTAAGCACACGAACACATTTTTAAAAGTGAGTTAAAAAGGCCAATTTTCCACAGTTGCGGGTGGAATTTCCAAAATCGCTGAAATGAATACGTATTCATTAGATCTTTATGTGAAGTTTTGAAGCCGACCGGTAAACGTGAAACTTTGCTCTCACCCACCAAGGTTGAATTATGCGACAAGTGTGATAAACTTCTCAAATCAATTTTCATAAGGATTAAATTTCCACACTTGTGTTTAAAACTTTCCAACACTAAACGGAGTGTTGTAACGTGTAAAGCGTGTAACTTTATTTTATATACATATATCTACGTATATCTTACGGTTCGGGCTGTGCGTTGATCATAACTTGCATACTTCTTTAAATAAGCTTAACTCGTATATAGGATTTTTAATAAGTAATTTATTTATTTTTAATTAAACATACTTACTTCATAGAAAGCTTAGCGTAAATAGTGAATATATTTAAAATTGGCATGTTGTGTAGCATTGGCAGACAAATAGATTAGATGAGGCCCGGGTGGTTCTTTAAGGTCTTAAAGGTTCTATGAATTCTCAAAACTAAAATCTTAAGAGATTCTCTTCTTTTTTGCAGAAATACCTGCTACTGGGTGGATGATACTGGGGATAAGACTAATGTAATACTTCATATGGTCCGCATTTGAGAGCTGCTAGTGAAAACATAAAAAAGCTGTAAATTTTTTTAGAATTAAATTTAATACTAGTTAAATTGATATATTTAAAGAGCAGGCATTTCAGTTTATTATATCAATCATTTTTTGAACAGTTTTCATTCCGATTGCTCTTGCTCGAATATGACAATATTCTCACAATATTCTATGACCATGAGGGGAAAGTTGTGACCCAATAGAATTGCTGGCACCGCCTCCAGCATTTCGTAGCCCTCCCAAAGGACCAGAAACCAAAGCTCCTCCTTGAATGTGAAAGCATCGCAGATTTTGATCAAATCACGTCCGCGCTCCCAGCCATATACAACATCGCCCTTGCTATTCAAACGCACAGCCACTTGAGGTCCGTCCATTATATCTTTTTAGAAATATTTTTGAAAGTAACCTGATTCGTGTGGATCAAGGAACTACTCACCTAGATTTCGCAAATCATATGCTCGGTTTTTCTTACTTACTTTCTTTACTTTTTATTTCGCTTTTCTAACTCTCAGAGAGCTCTGCTATGCGCTACCGACTATTGTCGACTACTGAAAATATTCTGCTAAACTAACTTTCGCGAGAGTAAGCAAAACAACAAGTTTTTGTCAGAGCCTACTAAATCTGGGATATCGACCTAACTATTTTGTTATCGCTCCTATATCGTATACCGATATACTAAACCATGTTTGCATATATCCATGTCGGTTACCATTCGATATGTAAGCTCAGATAAGCTGAATCAGAACTCCAACCGTTATAAACTGTAAGCTTATCAATGAACAGAATCAGAAGGAATCAAACTATATGTATTCCCATATAGTTATATTAAAATAATTCATCTTTCACCTACCCGATCTTAATATTTGAATTATAATTAGCTTCAACTTTATAGCGCGTTGGTAACAAAAATATTGTGGGACTTGGCGTTTCTTCTTGGAGTCGTTTCACTTATCAGACTTTAAAGAGTTATGCACACTGTTGGAAAGATGGCATATGCATAGGTAAATATACGTTAGCGTATTTAATACTAATAGGTAGATAATAACTTTATTAGTTTTACATATTATTCCCCTGCGATCTGACAGTTATTATTTTAACTACAAAACTATTTGTTTATTTTATTAGGTAATTACATTAACGTATCGAAATGTGTAATTTAAAATATAATTATTGTGGTTTTACATAGTTCGAGCGGAAGTACAAACAAATAATTGCATAATAAATAAAATAATTTATTAGAAATATTGAATATTAATAACGCTTAACAGTAAAAAAAAAACATGTAACAACCCAAATAAAAGTTTGGTTTTCCACATATATATTCAGTCAGGGGCGATACCAACCCGCCAGTGTATAAACCATGTATATACCCAAGCGAATTGCACCTAGTTGGACATTTAACAATTTGCAATCAATAAACTTAAATTTTTAATGCTTTTAATTGGGCTACTGTTTAAAAAATAGCGTCCAGCGAGTTAAAGTATATTATTGCGAGCCGTCGCGACTTTGTCCGCGTTTTGGTTAGGCGGTAAAACTTTCACCACTTATTTTGGAAATGACGTGCTGCCCGGATCAAACCCTTCCTATTATATTACTAATTGGGAAAGTAATAATAATATATGGAAGAAATTAGCCGTCGTTCGCAGAAATTGTTTGTGTAATTCGCGTCAACTTCAGTCAGATACAAACAGACATAACTTCTTTTATTGCCCATGTTAACTCTTCTGCATAAAAATTGTAGCCTTAATTGCGCAACAAAAATTTGGTGTTAATTTAACAAAAAGTACATGTTATCCAATTCACTTGCTTCGTGCTCAGCGTGCGGATATATGATAGCATTGTGGTTGACAGAACACATACAACAAAAGAAACATTTAATTAATTTTGTTAACTCCCATTAGTTTTCCTTTTGTGTTGTTTGCAATTTTTCAACATTGCTTTTATCTTTGTGAATAAAAAAAATGTAACAAACAAAAAACCACAAGGAACTTTGAACCGACGACCTCTCGCTTGTGAGTCCAACGCTCTGACGTCTACGCCACACATGATATTGTATAGTATAGTATAGCTATGTTGTTCTTATTATATCTCATGCCAAATTTGACCACCGATTTTTTGTGGTTCGATTTTTCCAAAGATCCGTCTAAGGGCTCACTTCCGACCCAAACGGAAGCTTCGTGGCTTTTACGGTTGTGTTAGTAAGTCAGCCAAGAATTATGTATATATATAGAGATGTTGATACCAGACCAAAACCAAACCCTTTTACACAACGCCAAGCTGCATAAGACTGATAATGTATCTATATGAAAAAGTAAACAGCAGCGATTGGGAAATGACCAAGCCAGATGTTTTATATTTGAAAAGGTAAAAATTTATAATTCAATTATCATATACATAGATTAATAATTGTATTCTATAATTATTATTATTATTATTGTTATTATAATTGTTATTAATATTATTGTTACTAATATTATGTTTATTTTTAATATTTTAAAGTGTTTTCTAGAAATAATACTATTAATTAGATTATCTGACCGAACAAAGCATTAAATACTCGCCATTTTCAAGCATTTCTTCCTTTCTTTCAGTTTGTTTATTTTAAGAAATTGTTGAAAAAATGGAGACAAAATATTTGCTTTTTCAAGTGCAATCCGCAATGCACAAATAAGAAAAAGTCCTCTAGGAGCCAAGGATGCCCGGCAAGCAGATACCCTATGGCCGGAAAAGCCCTATTCCGCTTGTTACAACAAATTTGCCCTCTTTGATGATTTTTTAGGGAGACGTGCCGCTCCTAGAAAAGTGTGTGTCAATTAACAGTAAAAAATACAAAATAACGATGCAAGACATGTACGAGAGATCAAGTTGGAAGTGCCCGACACGAAATACAATACACTACAATACGTGAACATGTCTAGAACATTTCATTGAAATTCTCGTGATCTTTCTCACAAGCTGGAATTTCTAGTTTGATATGAAGTTGCTCGTGTTTATGTATTCTAATCGATGACATACGACAAAAAAGTATATATACAAACTGACTCGATAAATGTGTACATTTTATATGATTGAAAAGTAGTAAGCCCCTTTTTGGACAAATAAAATGTACAGGGTATGAGAACAGCACCGCCAGACAACAGCGTCCCGCTACACACATATATATACTTATCTATTCACTTCTGTATGCAGCCCTACACATAGGCACACAGGCATACACACTCACGCACACACACACACACACTGCGCACGTTAATTACGTTACGAGTCTAGTTCCAGGGGGAAAAAATTGAACGAACATTTTTAATTATGTTGATTTTTCGCTGATTTAATTTCAGGCGCTTGTTTTACCTGGGCATATTCCGTTTTTTCGAAACCAAATAGAATTTAATTTAATCCTTTGAAAAAATAATTTAGGCGTTACCACGCCACAACATCCCGTCCCCAGTCCGCCGACTCCAAACCAAATACAAAATATATAAAGCGCTTTGGCGAAGAGCTCGTTTCATGCCATTGCCCAGCGCCTAACCCGTTGCCCGATCCTTGCCCCGTTGTCATTACCGTTTGGGACCTACAATGGAATAGCAAAACTTAAAAAGCTTCCATTCAAATACCACACACACACACACACATACACGCACACACACACACACACACACACACACGCACACGCACACATCACACTCTCTACAACTCATCCACAAAGACAAAAAGTTTAGAAATGAGGCTGGGTTCCAGTGCCCAGTATGCCTTTCATGGCGCGTTTTCGTTAATGTTACACCATTTGGTATAATTACATTTTTCTATAGACCAGAGCTCGGATTTCTGGCGCTTTAAACTGCTTAATTAAATTCAAAAAGCTCGGTACGAATGTGTTTGCTCTCTTTTTTTTCGAATACACACCCAGCTCGCATTGTGAATGGGAAAAAGGCTAAACTGAAATTGGGAAAATGTTGGTGATAGGCGTAAAAGATGAGTCTATGGTGTATCGATGTCGTAAAAGGTTTTTTAAAAGGTATGTCTAGGAGATTATAACAACTATAGATCTTAAGGTACAAGTTTATTTCTCTTTTTGGATGCCCCTTGTACACATTAGGCTTACCTTTCTGCAGATACTTGAGGATAATTGTAAAGCTAGTAGCTGCTGAGCTTGGTGAAGATATCTCGATAAACAGAGTAATTTTTCAACCGACAATTCTTATAGAGCTATGTTATATATTAGCCCTAGATTGATGAAATTTGGCTCATATGAGGAGCATGGTAGAGCTAAAAAAAAGTTGTCATACATGAATTTAATTTGCGACCAATCGTTCCTATAATAGCTATATGATATAGTGGTTCGCTAATTAATAAGATTCTGCTCACGTTTAAGGAGCATAGAAAAATTGATAAATTGCGGATCTAATTTTCAGCCGATCATTTCTGTGGCAGCTATATAATAAAGTTAGCCGATCAGGCCGGTTACAACAAATGTACTGCCTGCACAGTTTCATAACGATGCTTTAAAACTGGCAGACGGAAATATGGACATGGGGCCAGAGATGTCTCCTTCTCTTCTAATAATGCCCACTTCAAGTTTATAATTACACATAGATTTTTTTAGTTTATTGGTTTACAGATTACTGTTATACATTATTGTTATACATAATTCAGTTATAATACACACAAACATATATCAAGCATTATCGTTTAACATTCAAATATATAAAAACTTGAAATTGGGGACTAAAACGCTTGCATTGCACTCGCCGGCGCTTGGTTAAAATGTTTGTACTTGAGATTAGATAAGTACCTAGTCTAACTGTGAAGTCATTTACACACATTGATTAAAGCTCTAGATTGTCCTAACTTTAGAGACACCCTGACGGGGGATCCCGAACCCGAACCCAAAAAAACCTGGAAGCCTATCGAACAAATTATTTACCGTAAACTTATCACTGGAACGGAGTGTCCTAACTTATCACAAATAAATTGTCTATAAAGTAAAAATAGAAGCATAAACATAAAACATAAACATACAATTCTACAATAATATATGTTATATTAATAATTATAATAAAAAAAAAAAAAGATTTACGTTGTGCTCTACTTTTAGGTCGTGGTCTCCTCGTAGCCACAATGCACATAGCCCGTTGCAAGCGTACCGCTGACCGCCGCTGACTTGGTGGGCAGATCGGAGCCCCCATTTGAGGTTGCCTCGCAGTTGTCCAGGATGCGCTCAAAGACCGCCTCGAAGCGACAGCGACTGATTGCAAAGTGCGCCGACAGCTCCAGACTGGCGGACATTACACGCACCGCCTCAAAGAGCTCGGCGAGCGTCGGCTGCTTGGCAATCGCTTCCGAGCTGCTGGCTTGGCGCACCTTGACCAGAAAACGCAGACTATGCGCATAATGCTGCAGATCGGACGCGCCGGGCAGGCGTTCGACCAGCATCTTGGCCAGCGCTGCCTGTTGAATGGGCGCACAGAAGCAGTTGATGGCATAGTAGCCACCATGCTGGGCCTTTAGCTCTGCCGGACTGTTGTTGGCCACGATTTGGCCATCCTTGAGCACAGCGACGCGCTGGCACAGGTGCTCAATCTCCGATATGGAATGCGAAGTTAGCAGCACGGCTCGACGCGCTGACAGCAGCTGCTCAATGGTGAGATAAACAAAGGAGCGCGTCACCGGATCCATATCACTCGTCGGCTCGTCCATCAATACAATCGGCGTGTACCCGCAGCAGCTGATGGCCACCGTTAGCTTGCGCCGATTGCCGCCACTTAGCTTCTTCACCTGGACGTCCCGATAGCTGCGCAGCTCGTAAGTGTCCAGTATGCGCTCCAGCAGGCGATCCAGCTGTTTGATGCCACGCAGCTGGCCATAAAGCAGGATGCACTCCTTCACCGTCAGCAGTGGATCCAGTGGATTGGTCTGCGGGCAATACGAAATGCCGGGCTGTGTAATCGAATGAGAATGTATCATGTTATCATTATTCAAGGCAAAATTAAATAAAATATTTTCAAAAGTTAATGATAAATAATTAAAATTAATGAATATAAAACTGATGGTCAAAAAATACATATCTAATTAATTTAAATTCAAATTTGCAACTCGAAGTTTTATGCATTTATTAAATATTTAAGTTTCAAGCCATCGATAGCTCACTCTGTTGCCACGAAACCGATAAGAATCGATTTTCAGATACGATTTATTGAGTTATCGATGCTTTGAAACTTTAATATTTAATAAATGCATAAAACTTCATTAAATGGGTTGGTTGAGAAATAACCCCCTTTATGACGGTCATCCCAAGAATGGGATACCTGGCTACAAGAGCTTAGAAAAAGGTGTGCGTTCATGCCGAAAGACCAATCAAAGGGAAAAACTCATTATACCCTTCCTCCCTTTGTGCATAGGGTGTAATGACAATTTGATCTAACTTACATGCTCCAAATAGACTTGCCCCACATTTGGCAGTAGCTGACGCGTGAGTATTTTGAAAATGGTCGACTTTCCGGCTCCGTTCTTTCCAAGAAGTCCGAAGCACTCGCCGCGCTGTACGCCAAAGTGGACCTGGCGCACCGCATAGCGTCCACGTCGGTAGGCGAGCCAGAGATTCTCGACCCGCAGTGCCTCGCCGGCGCTAACGCAGCTCTTGAAGATGCTCTGAATGTTGACTAGCTTCAGCTGACCCAGCTTGCGTAGTTCGCGTCGGTACTGGCAGTCCAAGAGGCTAGTCACCTGCTGCCACATGCGGCTCAGCAAATGGCACTCAATCAGCAGATTCAGCAACAGGCAGACAATACCCACAACGGCCAAAGCAGTGAAGTGCCGCTGCAGGAGATCGCTGGCCAGCGGCTGCTTGTAGGAGTCAATGTCATAGCGCTTGAAGACCACAGCGGCCATGTAGTTCTTGCACAGCTCCAACAGGCCGTCGCCCAGTGCGTGCTGGGGAAAGACGAGGAAGGCATTGTTCAGGCCATGCCGCCAGACGTCCCAGATGGCGCTGTCGCCCACAACTCCCAGGATTAGCACGATGCCCATGGTAATTAGCGGAATGATGATGCTGGCGCAAAAGATGGACACAATGGCTATGCTTGAGTCGCTGAAGATCTTTTCCGCAACGTGCACGGCCGGCACGCATGCAAAGCTGTAGAATAAATAATAGGTGAAATCGAAGTGGAATAAAAGGGGCATTGCAGTGAGTTTAGAAGTGAAAACGAAAATTTGAATAAATAGGGAATATAGTAGGGAAAGTGAAAAAGGGAACTTAGAAGTGAAAAAGAAATGGAATAATTGTCAATCACAAGGATAAGTGAACACTCCCTTGACAGTATGGAATCATACCTGAACATCAGGGATAGGACCACAATGCCTCCCAGTTGCTGACGATCGACAAAGACCGGCATGTTGAAGATCAGCACAATGGCCAGGCAAACGACCAGAGCCAGCACCATGATCAGGTAGTCCCAAAGGAAGGCCACCAGCCAGTAAGTGATGGCGCTGACGCCGCTCAGACGTTGCTGCAGCTTCTCGCCGTTAACTCGCTCGTTAACTAGATAAACGGAGCCGGCGGCGACCACCATTCCAAATGCGATCAGCAGTATGAAAACCATGCAGGAGTCGCCAGCCTGGCGCAGCACCGAGCTGGTGCTCAGCTCAGCATAGCCCAGTTTCCAGGGCTCATTCAGGACGCGTATGTCGTAGTCCGTCCTGTTGAGGGACGTGCGCAGCAGCTGAGTGTTCAGGTCATTCAACCAGGACACCATGGCGTGGTAGCCCTTGTTGTTGTACCAGACGGTGGCACCGGTGCCATTAAGACCATAGCCCCCATAGCGGCGGCCACGGTACTCGTCCAGGCTGGTCAGCACCCAGTGGAAAGCTTGCCGGGAATTGCTGAACTCGCTGCACTCGAAGTCCGTGTCACAGCCCTCCTTTAGATTGTCGTAGAGGGGTTCTGTGAAGCGTGTCAATCGCTCCCGGCTCAAGACTTGCGCTGTGTGCGGATAGAGATTGCGAGTCAGGGGCAGCACCGTGTCAAAGTCATCTTCCAGACGATAGCTGACAAACCACATGGCGCACAGCTCAAAGATTGCTGGCAGCAGCAGCACGTAGAGCAGCAGGCGGTAGTTGCGCATCAGATGACGCCGCCGTTTGCCCAGCAGCAGTAGGAATTGTGTCCAGCAGCCAGGCGGCTGCTCCGTTACATCGGTGGCTCCGGTGACAATGCTTGAGGTGGTTGCCGTCAGCCGCTGAGTAAGCGACTCATCCCTGCGATTTAATTGCTCGAACTCCTGCTCCAGGCTGCCGCTGCTGTTGAGCCTCAGATCGGTTATGATACCCGCTGCCTCCTGCGCCTGCAACTGCTCCAGAAGCTGCACGGCAGCCGGCGTTAGATTCTGCCCATAGCTGGCACTAATGATCAGTTGCTGTGGCTCTCGTCCTGGCAACACATGGCTTTGGCTAAGCAGCTGCTGAGCCAGCTGCACAATGGCGGCAGATGCATTTGGATCTATGCAGCGCATCTCCACGCTGTAATCCGAGGTGCAGAGTCGTTGCAGCGAGTCCCGACTGTGCTGGGCAACAATACGGCCCTGAAAGAAGATGTGGGATATGATTAGCCAAGGATAAAGTGGAATTCATAGAACGACTCACATTGCGCATGGTGTAGAGCGCATCGCTGAGGTACTTGGCCTCGTCCAGGAAGTGTGTGGCAAAGATGACAGCGCGTCCTTGTCGCAGCTGCTCAATCAGCTGCCAGATGTCCTTGCGCGCCTTGGCATCCACCCCATTGCAGGGCTCGTCCAGGATGACCACACTGGGCGAGGCAATGAACGCAATGGCCACGCACAGACGCCGCTTGTAGCCGCCGGAGAGCTGATAGGCAAAGTAATTCTCGTACTTGCCAAAGTTGAGGCCCTCCAAAGTACGACGCACCTCCTGCTCCGCATTCGCATGCTCGCTGTCTGTCGCATCCAGCTTGAGCTGTGCGTACAGCTCCAGATGCTCTCGTGCCGTCAGCTTGGGTATAAGTATATTATCCTGCCAGCAGACGCCCACATTGTGCTCGCCGGCTAGCAGCACCTGGCCCGTCGTCTGCACCGTCTGGCCCGTGAGCAGCTTGATGAGCGTGCTCTTTCCGGCGCCATTGCGTCCTAGCAGGCAGCTAACTTGGTTACGCGCAAAGTCTAGGCTGATGTTCGATATGGCATACTTGTTGCCGTACATCTTGGTCACGCTGCTGAGTGAGGCGCCCAACTTGGCATCCAGCTGAGCGCGAGCTACCCGCACGAAGCTATAGTTATCTAAAAGGAAGCCATTAGATTAGATTCACCCACCTTAAAGATCGAAAGTTGGACTCACTTTTCTTAAAGCGCTGATAGCCATAGCCAATGGCCGCATATAGCAGAAGATCAAGAATGAACATGAGGAATGCCAGCGCACAGTCGCTGCCCGTGGGTCCCAGCTGGAGCAGATGACCTACGCCCAGACCTTGCTCTTGCAGCTCCATGCGCATCAGTTCGCTCCAGCCCTTGGCGAAGGCTGTCGTGAAGGATAAATTCACCAAAAAGTTCTCCAGCAAATTTAGCTTTGCATCGAAGAGAAGCACTATGATAAATGGACAGAGGGTGATGAAGAAAATCAGCGCCGCGGCGACGGCACCAATGTTGGCAGATATGAAGAAGTTGGAACACATGTAGCTGCAGATATCAATAAGGTGTCACTTAGTCAAATGCCACAGTCAATTTGTTGTTTGCGGTACACACCAGAATGAGATCAGACACGCGCCAAAGACGAGACAATAGGACATCATGAAGAACCAGTTGGTGTAGACCAGAATGCCACCGGCATAGAGGACGATGCTGATCAGCACAAAGATGACGCACAGCTCCACGAAGCTAATTAGAATCCAGGCGACCAGTTCTGAGTGTGCATGCAGGCCCATTGAGCGCATTAGCTGAAAGATCCATAAAATCATCATCAGAATTATGTGGCAACCTTTGGATTCCTCTTGCTTTTACCCACCATGCTGTTTCGGCTCTCACGCATCCAGATACGCTCCCGAACGCATATGGCCACGGCTATAACCAGACCCAAACAGAAGGATACTTGGACGGCCTGGGCCAAGTAAATGCCACGCTTAAAGCTGCAAAGATTAGGCAATTAGGCACTTCGGTGGGTAAGGCTCTTGCATAATGGATCACTTACTCATCACTGACATAGGCCGGATATGGAAATTGTTTGGTATAGAATCTCATATCGTCCACGGCGAATTTCATACCCTTCGAGTCGCTGTCGCTGCCGAAGCTGCTGAGCAGATCCAAGAGACCCTGACGCTTGACGCGATGTCTATTGACCGCTGGCCAATTTAACTCCTCCTCCTCCTGCTGTTTGTCACTTGGGCTAGTTAGGTCGGACAGTTGCTGGCGCCGCACGCGCTCGCTGCGTTCCTTTACATCGCCATTGCTTAGGAACACAAAATCTGGGTTATTAGCGGATAATGTGACTCTATCTTCCTCTTGCGTAGTCTTCTGTTCCGTGGTAGTCTCCTGCTGTTGCTCCCCAACGGTGGTTGTCTCTACTTCTGGTGACTGCGGCAAGATCGTCGTGTGCGAAACCTCCGATTTGTCGGAGTCCGCGTCATCCTCATCATTGAAGAGGTCTTCGTCATCATCCACGCGTTGCAAGCTGATGACGGGGCGTGTGGGCTGATCTGATTCTGGCTCCTCGACGGGACCCAACTCTTGACGTTTATGTTTGATAATGCCCAGGTCAACCATCTGCTTAAGCTGCACGAAACCCCTGTGGTACTTGAGATCCACCAGCATGCTGGCGGCCGGCCCCGGAAACCAAAATCGATTCTTGTTCTCGAACGTGGGCTGCGTATTGTCCGTGTCCATGTGCAATCTGTACGTTATGTGCTCACCCCGCACGTTCTCAAAGTTAAGGGCGGCCAGAAAAATACGCTGCTGATTTAGCTCGTAGGCGCGCCGCCGCAGTTGGTCTACATCGGACACCGGCTCAAAGCGGTCCACCGAAAGGCACTCCAGCAGTTCGCTAATTGTCGTCAGTATCTCGTAGATAAGCTTATTGTTGCGCACATAGTTCATGATGCGCTCGATCTCCTCAATGTCAAAGTCATTGCCCAACAGGCTCTTGACCAGCGGCGAACGCGCCAGCTTCAGCAGATTGTCGAAGGCCTCCTGGAAGGTGGCGTTCGTATGCAGCTTGTTGAGTATGGCGGCAGTGGCGCTCGAAAGATTCTTGAGTCGACCAAGTTCTTCGAATGTGGCATTAGTCTTCAAAAAAAAAAAGAGTTAGCGCAAAGACCAAAGATCAGTTAACAAGCTTGGAGTGCTTACAAACTTGACAACGCTCTCCGTATCAGCATTGGCTGGCGTATATAGAATTTTACCCTGTATAATCGGCTTGATGAAGTTCCAGGTGAGCTTGCCCTGGTTCGTTGAAGTAACATCTAAATACAAACGCTTGCAATACTTGGCTATAAGAGAGAGAGAGAGAGAAAGAGAGAGTGTGAGAGAAAGAGAGGTTCCGGTGAGAGCTGAAACCAGAGGAGAATGGGGCATACTTGGCATGGCCTTTAGCTCATCGTCGTTGACCTCACTGAAGTCTTCGGAGTATAGAATGTCGTTGACCAGAGGTATGCTCTCCGTGCTGGGAAACGGATGACCGCATAGCAGAACGCCCAGCTTAACGAATGTCTCCCGGTCTAGGAAAGAGATCAAAGTTCTTGCTCTGAGTACAAATAGCATAAGAGCGAGCTGCGGGGCTGCCAACTTACTTGAAAACAGTTTCGTGATATCAAAGCTGTAATTCATCAGGCGCTCAATTTCAGGCACCAGAGAAATAATTTCGCTTATGTTGCCTGCAAAGGCTCGATTAGGATATACAATTTCACTAGGATATCTGCAAACAACTCACTTCGAATAAGATCCAGGTGATTACTGGTGACCAGCGTAGTCACCGCATTCACAAAGTTCGCCTTCTCCGGTAGCTCAATAACCGCATTGTACAGACGATCATCGGTGACAAATACATTAACAATGTCAATCACGGAATGCAAGCTGCAAACAGAGTATCAGCAAAAATGGTTCACAAGATGCCATCCAAGACCCAGACTTACGGTGCTCCCTGCCATTTGGAGTACTCCTCATAGGGATCGGTTTTCAAGCACTTGTTCTCTATGCTGCAAATATAGGAGAATGCACTGGGCACCACCTGATTCTTGGTGGGCAGCAGGCGTGTGGGAAACTGGCAAGCATCCACCTGTTCCGAGCCATACTTGAGCCGTATGAGATAAAGCAGTATGAAGGTCACCAAAGGCCAGATGAACAGCGTCAACGTCAAGCCCTTCTGGCGCCAGCGCACAAGCACGTCTTTGCGCAGCAGGGCTCTAACCTCGCTCGTTCTGAAGGACATTGCGATCGTATCCACTTGCAGCTGCTTACTCCAATTCCACGCTCTGCAGTTGGGGGTTTCGGCAGTTACTCTCTGTTGACGTCACTATCTTCCAGATCATTAACACATTTTAAAGCTGTAATTTTTTTGCAAGTGAAAAATATCGATCCAGTTAGGTTGGAAAAATCTTCATATTTATAAGAGCTTAGCCTGACTGTCTGTCTGATTGATGATCATCGCCAGCGAAAGGCGCAGGAGCTACGAAGCTGAAATGTTCACTGAAGCACTAAGACGAGGTTTTGTAAACTTGCATCTCCAAATGGAGGGAAACCGTAATCAAAGTATGTATGGATAACATCAACAGCAACAACAACACAACCAAATAAGTGTGATAAGCAAACGAGCCTGCGGGTTTTAGCTGTCTGAGCGTCGAACTAACTTGCGAGAGGTCGCCGGTGCAATTTCAGCACCAATTTTCAATTAATATTTGTTACACGAGAGCTAATAACATTATTAAAATTTTTTTTTTTTGTCATATGTATTCAATGTATTCTTTGACAGATATCAACCAATCGCTTCTGCACGAGTACGCATACAAAATTGAACTTTTAGACATAATCTGTTTGTCAATCTACATGTTAGCTATTTGACAAGAAGAAAGCCATGTTGAAATGCAGTTTTACATTTACTTTATACGAATACAATGTACCAAAGGACAGCCACTCTGCCCCAGTTGGGTCAACTAGAATGTAGACAGAATCTTAACAGACCTTGTAGTGCTAAAGCTTCCTTTATATTTTCAAAAAATTTCCCCGTTCCCGCAAGACTTTCACATACGGTAACATAAAAAAAAATGGATTTTTTCTGCTCGCCGAAGCTTAAGCGTCCTTGTAGACTTATGACTTGAAAGAACGCTTTTATATGGATTTGATGCTGGCTGAGGAGACTTGTATAGCTGGTATTGCTGAGGCTGGTCAAGATTTATTGAAAATAAGAAATGTTTTTATACAAAAAATCATTGTTCGTCCGATTCCTCCTCAAGACCTATTTATATTAAGGTCAATGTTAATAAAAATTGGTCAATATAAAGGGAGCAGTTAAAACTCTTAAACTCCAAGCATGAGCCAAGCATTTGCAAACTGACGATAGTTTTAAAAATAATTTTGCGACTAACCGATATGGCTATTTGGAGTCGGCTGTCAATACTGATCAAGAACATATAAGCCTTAGTAGCATTTTCCGACAAGCCTTTGTCCGCGTGCGTTTCGGTTAGTCCGGTGAAACTTTCAACGCGTATGCAATCGCGTGCTCCTCAGTTCAACCCCTCAACAACCAATTCATTAATTTAATAAAGTAATAATAAAACACAAACAACGGCCCGGAAATTAGAATAAATTACACATCGTCGCCGGGTTCAAATGAATAATCATGAAAATGCAAGTGGATTCGAAATGGTTTGTGCTATTCTCGCCAACTTCGTCAGCATCATACTCCCATATAAAGTACCAATAGATTATAAATAAAATTTTGGGCTTACGAACCCTGTTGTGTTATAATTAACAAACTCATTAGAGCTGCCTTCGCTCATATTATTGTTCCTTTAGATAAATATTTCTGATTAGAACAAAAACGAGGGCTATCTAAGAAGCACAGGGAAAATAGTCAATGCAGAGAATGGTTAAGATATCTTAAAGAACAAAAAGTTTTTCATACAAGAACCTAATTTTCGACCGATCGTTCCTATGGCAGCTATATGATATAGTCGTCCAAAGTAAATAAGATTTTGCATTAATGTAGGGGGCATAGTAACTGCCGACTTTGGTTCAGATATCTTAAAAAACAAAAAGTTTTTCATACAGAACCCTTTTTTTTACTATACGATATAGTGGTCCGATTCAGCCGGTTCCGATATATGTACTGCGTGCAACAACAAAAGGGACTTCTTCTTCATGACAATAGACAGACGGACATGGCTATATCGACTCGGATGTTCATACTGATCAAGAATACTAATAGTTTATGGGGTCAGAGATGTCTCCTTCTATGCGTTACACATTTCGAGACAAAATTATAATACCCTCTGCAAGGGTATAAAAATATTCTATGCTCTATCTTAAACGGTTGGCTCGCATTCTCTTTACAAATATTTGTTGCATTTCATTGAATATTATTGTTAACTTTTTTTTTGTGTGAATAACAAATTAAATAATTAGATATAAAAGTAAGCAATTGCTGCTGCACCGTTTTTCCACACTTGAACTTTCTAAAACCCCGTATTAGTGCTCACATTTTATAATTGTATATTGAATAAAGTGCGAAACATTATCACTTCTCGTTCTGCTCGCAGACCCAACAAAACACTATCAAGTCGTCTTGGGCCGGTTTGGGTGACAACAGCGCGCCCCTGAGGCTATTGCCAGAAGCGGGTGCTAATGGATTCCTAAGTATATGCGACAATTTTGTTAAGGCGACATTTGTGGATGCTTTATCGGCGCCTGCGGCGAGTGTGAGACTTTCCACATTGTCTGGGATCTGTCAACTTGGGACAGACGCGTTAATTTCCTCGTAATGCATAATTAGCCATATGTTTGATTGTATCATTAATTCATATCCGCCAGTTCCGCCTGTGGCCAGTTTGGAGTTCACCTTGAATTTAAAATGCTTCCATGTTTGATGGACGCAACGCGCATTAAAGACTTTAATAGGCCCCATGTATTGCACCCGACAGCTGGCTTGAAATGCTCCTGACATTTAGTTGCAGTTGCAATTACATCTATTGAACAGTTTGTTGTTATTTAATTTAAATAATTGACGTTGTTTTTTACACGATTATCGCAACAATTGAGTCACCAAAGATTACACACGCAATTACAGAACATCGTAAGGGGAAGCCAGCTAATCAATCGCCAAATTGACGCAAATCTATATGATCTCCCTGGTTCAACTCTATTGACACTTACTACACCTAGGAGCAGTCCAGTAAAGTGGAGAAAAATCAAAAATCTTTGGTTTATCAAAGGTTACATTTTAACGAACGCTTGTGGCGGACCTTTAACCGAACCAGTTGCATCAAAAAAGCTGCTCTAAAAAATATATATATTTGTCTAACCATGTTTGGTAAATTCCAATCATGGCTGGTTCTCTCTTGTATATGAAAATATTTGCTTGCAATATTTTTAGTAGAATTATTGAATTGTTCCATTGAGCTATCTAAAATCTATGCCAAACCAAAATCTAGTTTCTAAAATCTGGAACACTGGGCGCACGAACCGCACCTAAGATCATGGGTTGGATTTCGATCTCCGAACACCCGACTATTGTTTTTCGCACAGGGTAATCTATACACATCTTTAACTTCTTAAATTAATCATATAAAAATAATGAAATTCTTTTATTGTATAAGTAGTTAGATAATCAATTATTGGCTTCGATTATAGGATAAAGAAGTGTGCAACTCACCAAGCCACTGCAATACGTTTTCCGCTTGCAGGGTATTCTAGGTTCAACCTCTGTTATGGTATTCAAAGTCAATATATTATACGGCTAGAATTTAAATGCTAAAGATCACAGACGTTTGCATGTGAGCAACTCTGAATCGGATTTAAGTAATTCCTGAACAACGCGAAACTGTTAAAATTTGAGGCTCTCGTAGGTTTCGATGGGAACGAAAATAAGTTAAAAACCAAAAAACCAGTTAGGGCTTCTCGTTATATTTGCATGCAAAGCTTGGCTTGCGACTTTTTGTCTCAACTGGCTGGGTTTTTTTTATTCTGTTTATTTTTAGAAGTTTCAATTAATTAGCCATCCTAAAAGGGGTTTGACAGCCGCTGAACGCCGGGTCCAAGGTTCGCTCAAGCGTTCTACGCCTTCATTGATGTAACAGCCAAATTTATGAGCCAAAATGGATAAATCTTTGAGCTTGTCTTGGTCTTGCTGTGACTCGTCTGTCTAGAATGATGTTGACTGCAAAAAGATGCAATATTCTCGCGAATCCAAACAAAAGAAATACATTTTCGTCTTGTGTAAAATCTTGTACTCGTGCATTAAGTTTCTGTGTCAATGCTATTTCCTTGGCTTATTCTCGGTAGTTATCATAGTCGCGCGATGTGGCATTCGATCTATAGAGTTATATGTATAGCTATTGACCTTTTAATTGCAGGCTAGAGAACTGGTTAACTGATTGCTCATCTACTGTTGTGTTTGCTCAAAAGCTAATAAAGGCAACACCCTAACTATCAATCAAATCCAGAATTATCTGAGTCTGTAAAAAGAATTCATATTTACATTAGCATACAAATTGCTCAATTCTGGTGAGCCCGAAATATAACTTGCCTAAGGAATATGTTTGAAAATAGTTTAACTTTAATATAAAAAAAAATAAACAAAAAGTTAATCGAATTGCGAAACAAGAATATAAATGGAAGGGTTATGGTTGTATTAAGAATCTTTTTGACTAAGACTATTCAGCATTTATATGCTCACACAAGAGTGTCAACCCAATCCTTGTTATTCAGTTGCATTAATAACTCGATCAATGAAGTGGTATTCATATTCGTTTTTCGCTATACTATTCAAAATACAGGATTGGGTGTTTTGTACGCTAGCAAAGAGCTAAGATGTATTGCACATATCATAAACGGCAACTATTTTCTGTGGTCGTTTTCACGTTTTCACAATTTCCCAACTTGAATGGATTACGAAATTGCGTCCATCTGATGCCAGTTAAATCTCTTCTCTGCGACTTGTTCGCAATCTCTGAACCAGTTATTCGCACACTTATTGCTCAGTGCATTGGGTGTGCGTGAGTGTGTGTGTGTGTGTGTGTTTGTGTGTTTATATAGAAATCAAGCTCTTGCTCTCATTCAAGCGATTGAGTAGCTAATGACATTATGACACTTTTATTATGCATTTCATTGATCTATTAATGATGTGGCGATCAAACGATCGACCTAGTTGCGATCATTCAAATGCTGAGCATTAGCCCAACACGCAAATACACACGAGTTCAATAAAATAACAAATTTTTTCTTTAGAACTATGTCATTCATTGATTTATTGTGCAACTCGGTCCCACTATCAGTTGGTTATTGGCTGAAATGATCCACAAGCGAGAATCGGCACTGATAATTCCAAGGCAAATAC